GAGGGGGTCGGGTGGGAAGGGAAAGTTGCATGACTTCAACGTAGAGCTCAAAAGCCTTAATGGATCTTTTGGAATTTTCCTGGAACCCAGGACTTCACAATTAGGTAACAAATTTTTCAAGTGCCCTGCTGGAGAGGGTTTGAAGTTCAAACCCTACTGAGTATTCCTGCCAGGGATGTATTTTTCTTTTACTTTTTCCTAACCAATATCCACCCTGGCTAAGACAGGAAGGAAAAAAAAAAAAAAAAAAAAAGGAAGATTAAAAAAAAAAAAAGGAAAACAAGAGCTAATGATTTCCTTATGACACCAGCTTGAAGAAATGTAGCCTATGGACTAGCAAACAGCAGGTAAGTTGGAACCCACTCCCCCAAAATCAGTTGTAAATGTTAATTCTTTTCAGATAGATTTCTCAGAATTAGATCTTCATTTCAATTACCTCTATAAACTGATTTTTTTTTTTTTCATTGCATTTTGGTGCATGTTATTGAAGTAAAGCTACAAAGAAGTTACTTTCCTGGTGAAAATATAACAAGTTAACCCAGGCATTTTATATACTAAGGTGGTTTGAGTTTAACTGGTGTTATAAATCTGTGGGGGACTTGGTAAATGAAACACTGTTAATAAGTCTTTAGAGAAGTGCAGAAACTTGTTATTTGGATTTTTTAGGTCATCATATTTTTCTTGTATTTTACAGAATGAGCAAAATTCTATATTTGTTGTTAACTTACTACTGGCAGTTGAAAGTAAAATACTATATATATGAAATTAGCAAATAACACTTCTATGAAATCAAATAAATATAAAATTGAGATATAAACAATCCAAATAGTAAAATTAATAACTTTAGTTTTGCATATTTTACTTGTGAAAGCAATTAAAAATGTTAATTGGTTCAGATTTCTGAGAAACCCATTACTGCTATGCTAAGAAACCAATAATTAACCACAGCATTTTTAAAATAGAAATACTCTGCTTCTGTCAGTTCTTGAGGACTACCTAAACCTCTGCTTTTTATATACTGACAGCTACATAAATTATCCATTATATCATGTATATGAAAGGTATTAAAGTCATCACAAAGGCTTAAAAAAAATAGTAATTCAAAGACAGATTTCAAAATAAAATTATGACAACAGTATCGTATTTATGTATTCTAAATAAGAACTGGCTTGAAAGAGAATTAATACACAGAAGAAAATGCATAATGTGCATTCAGAAACTTTTACTAAACAAACACTAATATACATTGAATACCTTGTGAATACAGAGAAACTATGGAATGTATAAGAAAAATAAACCTACAAATTACATGCTACCAGAAGGGATTAATTTATATTTTCTTAAACTGAAATGAAACAAAGAACAAGATATAATTCTCAGGGTGCCAGCAACCCAGCACTATGCAAAGAAAATAATACTATGAAAAGCAAGGAAAATCTTACCTGTGAACACAGCAGCATAACAAGTTCAACCACTGAAGTACTCGACTTCATACAAACCAGACCTACAATAAATGGTAAAAAATTAATTTAAAACATTGGTGGAATTTAGTCATTATAGTTCCACGGTTTCAGAAGGTTCATGAAATACCTGTAATGTATATTTTTTTATCACTGATTCACTAAAACAAGCTTCAGGCACAACTGTCTGAGAACTTCAGATTTAAACGTATTTAATTGTTCTGAAAGCATAAAAAAAATCACACAGAATAATCTATACCAGGTTCAGAACAGAATGTTTTTCAATTGAGTCTTTCTGGTGTTTAGCTTATTTCACTATTTAGCTAAATAAATAGCTATCAATCTATAGAATCCAAAGCAATTTAATATATGATAAACATACGAAAACAACCTTTCAATACTAAATCCTGGAACTTCTTAAGAATAAACTGATAAAATATCAACAGGTAGAGAATAAGGCCTCTGCTTAGAAATTATTTTGATTTTCATATGGTAGTTCCTGTAATTGAAAGCTTGAGTATCAATGAAAAAAGCATTCATGCAAAATCTTATTTTTATTAAAATATAATCCCTAGTTTGTAGGCCATGCTTCTCAAAACAAACCCTCAATTATGCAGTGTAACTGTTACTCACGGTTTTCTACTTAATTTAAATAATCAACACTTAATAACATTACCACTAGTGTAAATACTTGTTTGCAGCAAATTTACCTTCTGAGAGAAGGATATAATATCTCAGTATTTGAAAGATACATTGTAAAGAGACAAGGAGGAAATCAGACTTTACTGCTAACTATATATGGTACCTTCTGTTATCTAACATCATACAGGCATTGATACAGTGGTTCAGGGCATGAGAACACTTCTATTGTGTTGTAAAAATTATTAATTCACAAATATAAAGCTTACAACTAGGGACTAAATAGAAAGCTGAAAAGCAAACCACTGTGCTCTAAGTAGGTTTCTACAAACAGTGATTAGAGACAAAGCACTCCTACACAATAGCACGTATATTTATTGCAGGTAGCAAATAAATACCCTTTTGTGCCCATTTTGCTAACAACCCCATCCTTATTGTATAGCAACACAGAACAAGCTATAAGAAGCCACTAGGATTCCATTCTATCAGATATATGGGCAGACAGTTAACTAATGAAATAAGAGGCAGATGTGCAAAGCTCATTTAGGGAGACAACTGCTGTAATTGATCAGCTATTCTCATGCTCAAGTGCTAGACGATCAGAAAGATTAATGGGATACTTATCACCTGCAGGCTACTTCCAGTGTTTGAAAGCTGACAAAAAAACTCCAAACAGGAGACTCAACTCTACAAGTAAGCCAATGGAGGTAGCACAGATAAAATATTTCATAGAGAATTATTATCTGGTTTATTATGAATCCATCTCATATTCTGTAAAACTAAAAAAAAAATATATATATTTTCTCCCCCACACTCACCATTCAAAATCAGACCACAAGTGTATTAAGCAAGGCAAAATAATGCTTTTAGAAACATATTTCTATGATACAGTCTTCAAAATTTGTACATCTTTACCTTCTGATTTTAAATCAAAAAGCTAGAGGTATCCAGAATAAGCAACATACACAGTTATGCAAAATAAACTAATTAAATTACATAACAAATATTCGTGCATCAGCAGTAATTTCTTTGTATCTTCACCAGGTTTCCAAAAAGAAGAGAAAACTTGGTGCAAAATATATGCTTTAAAGATAAATACATAAGGAATATTTCCTTGTTAATTAACTAAATTCAAAGTTCTTAACTTTCAAATACAATTGGTGATACTTATGCTGAGTGTGTAGCTTCAAACAATGTGAAAAAAAGTTTGGAAAGTGGAACAAGACAAACATGCCTTAAATGGCATAAAGCTAGGATTAGTACTCATGGTTATCAGCCAGGTAACAATTATAATCTAGTCCTAATGACACAAATGCTGTATACATAATAAATCAGAATAATCTATTTGAATGAGATCATAATTACCTTAGTGCACAATTTCCTATTTACAATAATAATAATTTTTCTATACTTGTTAACAGTCTGATGATTCTACAGGCTTCAGTAAAGTATTTGTCTGACCTAAAACCTGGCTTTTTTCTGTTTGTCTGAACATTACTTGATAATTTCTGTATACCACACCTAATCAACTATAAGCTTGGATGTAGCATTCTAGCACTGAAAAGGTGAATTGAAGTGATTTTGCTGAAATTCATTAAAAGCAAGAGGATACAGAACTGACATCTGGTTAGCACATCAGCACACCCATTAGTTGTAGCCAGCTCTGCAACTGCCTGCTGAGGAGACAAACCATTGATAACAGTCATTAACACCTCTCATACGTAGTAGTACTAAAAAAATTCTAAGAGTCCTATTTTCATGTCAAAAAGAAACAAATATCTTAAAGACTGCAGCACTTTTCACACGTGAAATTACAAAGCAGACAGGAAAGCCTAAAAAAAGTTCTTGGTGTCAAAGATGGATGCAAGGAATAGCTGTCACAGAGGTCTCAGTGTACAGTAGAAATTAAGTGTGTAGCACTCTAATTATAAATAAGCAAAACCAGGACTAGCCATGACAGAAAATGGGGAATCCCATGTGTCTTGATGGGTGGAAAGAAAGAAATGGAAAAAGAAATGCTTTCTATTCACCTTTTAAGTATTCATACCATACATTCCTTGAAGCAAAAATACAGAAATGGAAAGCATTCATTGCAGGGCCACCATTTCACGTTATAAGTTTCATGCTTATCTTCTCCTACTCCCACTTCAGGGACCCCTTTCTCTCAAATAATATGAGGGAAAGTGTGTGCCCTGCATTATATGCTCCATTTCCTCCTTCCTAGCTGTCAAGGGCTCTATTTTTGTGTCCCTTGTGATTCTTCCCATTTTTGCTTATTCAGTTAAGATTTGAAATGAAGAAAGATTTTTATTTTTATTTTTTTTTCTGTTACACAAAACACAATTAATCTTCAGAGTTCACTGTCAGAGCTGTTATGGAGTCAATAGTAGAGAATGATAAAAACAGATCAGACCTAATGGAGGACAGATCCATTTCTGTCTGTTAGGAAAAACTGTCAGACTGCAATCTCTGGTTTATGAAGATGCCACCTAATCAAAAGCTGTCGGAGTAAGCTAAGGAAGGATCACCATATCTCAAATTTTGGACCAGAAAAAAGATAATTTTAATACTCTCTTGGTTTTTAAATTTGCATGATCCTCTGTCCTAGGAAGTCCAACTTGAGTGAATTGCCTCACTGCTTTTGGCTTGTTACAGACACTAAATTTCCTTCAGCAGACAGCATATATTCTAACATATAAAAATAAAAAAGGAAGTAAAAAATGTTCTGTTACCATTTTACAGACAGAAAAGAAGACACAGATTGCTTGATGTATCTTCATAAAATCAAAGATAGAATTTGTAGCATGAATACAAATGAAGATCAGTTTCCTAAGTCCCAAATGCACTAACCACTGCATTTATTCTTCCCCTTTAACATTTTGTAGGATTTGGTAGAGATGTTTAGGGTGTGCAAAATGTTATTAGTTTTAACATAATGAGAAACAAAAACGATAGCAAGCTTTGAAAAAGAATGTCTTCTCTGATTGAAGAAAGCACACAAATCTACTTTCAGTTCTCTTCCCCCCCCTTCGCCCCTTAACTCCAATGAAAAAAAGTATTTGTAATTCAAACTAAAACTGTTGTTGCATTTTTCAGCTGCAGATAAATTCTTCCTATACCATCTGTATCAAATGTCATTAAGGAAGCTAATGTAATTTCTAAAATACAAGTGGGTATTTCCTGCATACAGTAAGGTTAAAAAGGTCACTGTTGAACTGAATGGAGTACGTGCTCCTTGTATTTGCTGTTCTTAGTGCTTTCCTTCATGGTCTGTTCTCAGTCCATTAAATATAGTCATCAAAATTCAGCAATTGATGGCAACAATGACCACATATAGGATGCAAAACTGGGAGCATCAAGTGCATGACCTTAGCTAATCTGGAATAAATGATGTATGCCTGGCAATTACTTGAAATGCTCTGGTTTACTTGACTACTTCTTCAGTGTTCTTCTGCTGGCCCAAGGATATGCTAATTATTTCTTTTCACTATGACTTATTAATGTCTAAAAAAAAGATTTATTTCAATGATACTATTTTAGTCATGCCTGTGGCATTAATAAAGTCATGGGTTCAAAACCTTGAAGTCACCATGCTGAACTAGTCAGTGTGAATTTCTATTTTGAAGAAATACAATGTAGGCTGATAAAATCAATTTTGAAAAAAAAAAACTTATGAAATAAGATCATGGTTTTGAACTTCTTTTTATTATTATTAATACAATGTGTGTATGAGTCTAACTGAATACCACCACAATTTCATCTGGTCTTTATCAAGGTTTGCCTGCATTTTCTTTCAATGATTTTACTTTGTGTCAATTTAAACCCTTACTGGAACTGGAATCAATTGTAATATTAGCAAAACCAAAAGTGAAATGATTCTATATCTTATATTCAACTTAGAAAAAAAGTGCAATTGAGTATACTTTAGAGCCTGCAGAAATCTTTCACTCAATAGCTTCCACTTATCTGGAAGTCTCAAGTCTTGCTAAATAAAAAGCTTGAGAAAGTTTAATCCGTTCAACCCAGTTCACAGAGAAAACTTTATTGCCTTTATTGCTCCTATTTGATGACATCATGTCATCAAAACTATAGTAGCTTCCTATAGAAAAAATGCTTATGACATGATATTAGCACTTAGAAATGAGCATAAAGTCCTAAAAGTAGACAAAAACAATAAGAAAATTCTAGAATTCTCCTTTCTAACTTGTATTTTTGTAAGGTCAATTATTTTCTCTTTCCTACCAATAAAGTCTTCTATGTACTTTAAACAAAACTGCATTGTTTCAAATAGTTCCCTATAATTACTGATAACTCATACCACACTGTCTCTCCCCATAATCCTTCTGTGCCAAGAGACAGAGGAGGAGTTTTCCACCAGTAATTACCACACAAATTGTGTCTTAAT